TTCCATCCTTTGCACCACTTGAAGCCACACAGTAGTACATTTTTACAGCCAGCATGGTGTAGACGTTTGAATGTTGGACTAGTTCTGGCAGATCAGGGTTCGAATCCCTTCTGCTCAGCCCTGGAAACCCAGTGGGTGAATTGGTTGCGTCTCACACTCCCACGGCAAACCTTTTCTGGATAAATCTTGCGAAGAAGGCTCTAAGATAGGGTCACATAAGTTGGAGTTGACTTGAAGGCACATAACAAAATACAACAAGGGCATTATATATGCATTGTGAAAAACTATGTACATGCAACACATGAGAACAAATGAGTATCTCTTATTCAGGAAATGGGGTTCATCTAGGCCGGTGCAAGTGCCTCTTTTCCACTTTGCGCCCGGGGGAAAGTGATGGGAAGAGAGCCTCTCTTGTTCATCCCAAGAATGGAACCTGACTTTAAAGGTGAATTTGAAGGGCAGATGCTTCTCGGAGCTGCAAATGGGCAGAAAGCAGCCGTGAGATTGCTTTCCAGCTGGGCGAAAGAAGCTGATAATGATTCATCATTAGGGCAATCGGAGTCAAAAATGGAGTGACAAAGATTTAATCAGCCGGAAAAAAAATATAGTGAAAGTGTCTGTGTGGTTGAAAGCTGTCTGGTGCAGATTGAGACCTTGGGGCTGGCTGCGGAAAGAAAAAGGGGCAAACGCACATGAAGGGGCTTGTTTAAGCTCCCCTCGATCTGATGGCAGGGTGGCAATGGTCTTACTCTCAAGGAGGGCAAGTGGACCCATTGGGCCCTTGTTCTGTGCCTTCAAGTCATTTATGGCAATCCTATTGTGGGGTTTTCTTGAAAAGGTTTTTTCTTGGCAAGGGGAGGTTTGCCTTTGCCTTCCTCTGAGGCTGAGAGAGTGGGACTTGCCCAAGGTCATCCACTGGGTTTCCACGGCCCAGTGGGGAATCGAACCCTGGTCTCCAGAGCCCAACACTCAAACCACTACACCACGCTGTCTCTGTAAAGTGTTTTACAGTAATTTAAGTGGGAGTTAGTTAGATCTGTCTTAGATCTATGTCTCTCCAGGAACAGAAATATGTACTGTTATGTGTGTAAGGTTTGTTTCACAGTCCACAGTTATTATAGCACTTGTGCACCACTTTAATCCTTATTGTTGTATTCTACAGAATTGTGGGATTTGTAACTCTATAATCATTCTGCGTTTCCCACCAAACTACAAATCCCTCGCTTCTATTAAGATGAAACCACAGCAGTTAAAGTGGTATCAAAGTGCTCTGACTGTGTAGCATGAATAACAATATTCCTGTTCTCTCTTGGAGTGGAAGTTGTTGAATTGGGGTGGAAGAAAGCGGAGTTTAATGATGCCAGGTTGCTGTTTTTGTGGTAGGGAATTTTCTGGGCAATATTGTTGGGGAGAAAAGTTACTGGGGATGATGGTTGGGGAAAAGTAGAGGGAGAGATGGGTGGGGAGCAGCCGTACGTTTCTTGTAATTGGGATGGCCTGCCCAAGCTCCTGACGTCTACCTGGACCTTTTTAAGCACAGCACCAAATGGGCTCCTTTAATCCATTGCAATGCAATCCTGCCCTTTAGAGCCAAGTTGGATTCCTTCCAAGGAGCTATTTGGTTTGACAGCTGAATTTACTTTCCAGAACATCACAGTGAGTTTAATGGTGTCATCCGAATATAGCATCATCTGTGCTCATCGGAGTGATGATGATCATGTATTTGCAACTCCTGGCAGCCTCATAGCCAGCATAGGGAATGGTGAGGAATGCTGGGAGATGCTGTCCAACCAAATGGAGAGGGTTGTGTTATCCTTACTCTTAATGTAAATGATGGTTCCTGGCCCTATGGGGCTTGTTATTTTTATTATTGGATGTCTTTCAAGTTTTTTTCTGACTTAAAGCAACCCTAATTCA